CAAGTGCCAAGTATGACATAAAGACACATTTATGTCATTGATAAGAATCAGAAGAAAATTTGAAGCAATGCAGTATTTGATCTAACATTCACTGAGTTGTTTGTGCTCCTTAAATTTGGAAATTTTTTCTTGGTAAATATTAAATCTTTTCACGTATGTACTTTTAAGGTACATTTAAGATGAATTTCCTGAGAACATAAATGCTCAAGTGGAATAAGCAGGAGTTGGTGAGGAAAATCTTAATTTTCATTTTTCCTGCCTTAAATGCCTGAAATATCTTGGATATAATGTTGCATGAATAAGGCTTTTAGTGTTTAATGTGATATGACTTAAACATTCTCTTTTTGCTAGGGTCTATAAAACACTTGCTATTAATGGCCATTACTTTTCCTTTTTATCTACCAAATTTACTAAGGCAGGAAAAAATATGTTGATGATTCTGTTGGTCTGTTCAAATCTTTTCTACTATCTAGCAATAAACTTCACTCTTCTTAAACCTGGGACAATCCACTTGGAAAGGGACACTAGGTGGTCCATCCTAAACATGATACTTTACATAGCAGGGGGCTTCCAGCTTGTCAACCTGCTTCTCACTATGTTTTTTGATCTTCCCAACAGTCCTGTTGAAGTAGACTGGATAATATTCCTACAGCCATCAGAGACACTAAAACTGGGATATATCTTCCCCAATTTTGCACAGCTAGTAGCAATAAAACCTTGCCATAACACGATAAGTGAAGTCTAAAACATTCAACCAGGAAAACACAGGTTTGCATTATTTTGAAGTCAATCAAATGATCAGGAGAAACCTATGCAGCTGGCCTGCCTGTGCCTTCCAGGGCTCCAGCTGGAGAATACAAACACAGCCTAGCCCCAGCTGCAATTCAGCACCAGCCGCTGTCCACTCCAGTTTAAATCCCGGTGGGGATGATTCCAGGGCTGACCGGGGCTTCCAGGATATCAACAAGGATTCCAGGAATCTCCTAGGTAGCTGAGACCCATTTCTTCAGATTGATCCAGAGAGACTGAGCTGAAAGAATGCTGGGAACGGGGAGACCCCACTTCCCAAGACACAGTTGCCTACCATTTTCCCACCTATCCTACTCCTCTCCCCAACATCTCCCTTTCCCGCACCAAAGCCAAGAACTTTATCACCCACCCTAGAATGAGAATGGGGGCTGCATGGAGAATGGGACCTATTTACAATGGTGTCATATCTGAATCATAGAGTTTTCTTGATTTGTATATCTTCTTAGTATTTGAAGAGCCAGACGTGGAAGACAGATCTCCCAATTTTTAGAGCAAAGCCCTTTTCCTACTTTTCGGGTACACTTTAGAATTACCATCCCTTGGCTTAGTTTGCCAAGCTACAGAGGGTATCAGACATGGCTCCCTGTGCCAGCAGAGTTCTTGTCTAACTCCTTCCTGTGAACGGGAGATCAGGCCCAGCCAGACTCAACACCCAAACCCACTTTCCCAAGTCTGGAGCTGCTATTGCACAGAAGACAGAGAAAAAGGTGAGGGAGCAGGGTAAGGAAGGAGCATATCATTCTTTTAACATTTTTTACAGGTTACTGACTTACTTCAGCTCATAAATTCTGCCCACATCTCACAAGTCACTTGCTTACTCACTATCTCTGCTTAACACATCTTGTGAGTTTCATCCATTCTATTTGTTTTCTTGTCTTCTCTAGCAGAATTGAATATTCTCAAATTCTACGGCAAACACACATTGCAAACAGAAAGATGTAGGGGGAAAATAAGATAAAAAGCAAAGGAAAATTTTGCTTTATAGTGGCAGGAGAAATAGAAACCACAACAGAGAATATTAACTCACAGTAATGTTGGAATTTTGAGCAGAAAGTGGTGGGTGCCTAATGCTAAGAGGAGACAAAGGACTAGTCACTGGAACTGCATGGTCTTCCAAGATCTGTTGGGAGCATTCTTTCCAGATCAGGAAATCTCAGGATTGGCATGTGGAAGGAAGAGGCAACTGAGGAAGGAGAAGCAGGGGAAGCTCAGAGACCCATGGAAAATATGCAAGGTACCCTGGGATAACTGCTGTGTTTAAACGTGGTTGTTTATTACATGACTTATTTTGAAAGTAAATCAACATAGCAGAAGGGTTCATATCTTAGCCTCTTGAATATTAAGAACTACAAGCAAATTGTCTAATTGAGGCAATGTATTAGTTCCCTCCAGCTGCCATAACAAAGTGCCACAAACTGGATGGCTTCAAACAACAGAAATTGCTTGTGTCAGAGCTCTGGAGGCCAGAAGTACAAGATTAAGATGTCCATAGAGTTGGCTCCTCCTGAGAGGTCTGCATGAAAGTCAGTTCCACGCTGCTCTTCCGCTGAGGGCTGCGGCCCCTGCCATTCATTGGCTTATGGCAGCATCACTCGAATCTCAGCCTCCATCACCACGTGGTGTCCCCATGTGTCTTTGTTTCTGTGTCTCTTCCTCCTCTTCTTATAAGGATCAGTCATATGGATTAGGGGCCCATCCTACTTCAGTGTGACCTCATCTTAACTAACTATATCTGCGATGACCCTATTTCCAAATAAGGTCACATTCTGAGGGCATAATTCAACCCATAACAGTCCACAACTGAGAAATATGAATTTAGTTTTTATTTATTTTGAGTACTTATTTTCTATTTCTCTGAAAGTAGGACAATGACTTGAGGTTTTCCAAGTGTAAAGACTTATGGTAGGTTTTACGTATTTATTTTCTATAACCATATAGATATTTATATATATAAATGACACAAACTGTTAACAGTGGTTATCTCACAATAGTTATATCTTGGAGGCTTTCCTTTCTACATCGTAAATTACTATAATGTTTGCATTTGTATAACAAACATGTACTACTTTGTAGTCAGAAGGAACAGCAAAGACATGTTTTCAAGGTGTGGATGAGAGGGATGTGTGGCTTTCCTTCCCCTGGCAGCCTTAAGAATCCTTAGAAGATTCCGGATTCCTTAGAAGACAGGGTGAGAATTACCGTGGGGAGGAGGAGGGCAGGAGGCAGGAGCACACGACATTTGAAAACTTGTATTCAACACTGCAGTTGCTTTGATGTGATTTGCCTTTGGACATCATCTTTAATGTATTTTAAATTCTAAAACAGCATTAAAGGAGGACCCAAGGTTTTCATGTTTATCCAGAGGAAACATGGATTTTCAATGTTGAGAAACGCAGGGGCTTCTTCCAGCCACTCACTGAGGTTTCCTGTCAGCCAAGGCAAAAAGGGAATATTGGCCAAAGTGGGATTCCCAGGTAAAATACAGGACATCCAGTTAAATTTGAATTTCAAATAAGTAACATTTTTTTTTCAGTATGTCTCAACCACGGCATAGGACAAACTTATACTGAAAATTATTTCTTTTTTGCCTGAAATTCAAATTTAACTTGCAATCCTGTGTTTTTATTCGCTAATTCTGGAAGCCCTGTTCCAAACACACTAGTTTAGACAAGCTTTTCTAGAAATTAGACCATAGGAGGGCTATGCCCCAGAGGCCACTTATAAAGGGAATTTATAAAATGCTGTAGCTCACCACATTTTTCTTCCAGAATTTTATACCAGCCATGGAAACGTGGTTTAAATGAATCCTATTTTTGTCAATACTTTATGTCAGGAGTTCTTAACAAACCGTGCAGGAGCTGCAGGGGGCCTGTGAGTCCCCTGAAATCCTAGGCCATATTTAGTACAAGTGCATCTTTGTAGGGAAAGGAACCATAGTCAGATTCCCAAAAGTGTCTAAGACCCGCCATGAAGGTCAGGGAGCATCAATTTACTGACTAGGGGCAAGGCTTTAAACACAGTTGTCTTAGTCTTTTTGCATTGCTATAAAAGATTACCTGAGGCTGGGTAATTTATAAAGAAAAGAAGTTTATTTGGCTCACGGCTCTGCAGGCTGTACAGAAGCATGGCATCAGCATCTGTTTCCGGTGTGGACCTCAGGAAGCTTCCACTCATGGCAGAAGTTGAAGGGGAGCCAGTGTGTGCAGATCACATGAGGAGAGAGGAAGCAAGAGGGGGAAGGTGCCAGGCTCTTTTTAACAACCAGCTCTAGCGCGAACTCACTCATTACGACAGGGAGGGCGCTGAGCCATTGATGAGGGATCCTCCCCCATGACCCAAACACCTCCCACTAGGCCCCACCTCCTACCTTGGGGATCAGATCTCAACATGAGATTTGGAGGGGCCAAATATCCAAACTCTATCACAAGGGGCTTTGTGCAGTGGCTTACGCTTGTAATCCTAGCACTCTGGGAGGCCAGGTGGGAGGATCATTTGAGCTCAGGAGTTCGAGACCAGCCTGAGCAAGAGCAAGACCCCATCTCTACTAAAAAATAGAAAGAAATTAGCCAGACAACTAAAAATATATAGAAAAAATTAGCCTGGGCATGGTGGTACATGCCTGTAGTCCCAGCTACTCAGGAGGCTGAGGCAGGAGGATTGCTTGAGCCCAAGAGTTTGAGGCTGCCGTGAGCGAGGCTGAGGCCACAGCACTCTAGCCCAGGCAACAGAGTAAGACTCTGTCTTGAAAAAAAAAAAAAAAAAACTATATCACAAGGACAGGCATTTTTGCTGGGGGCTTGGGTATAATTTTTCAGGTTAATTACTATTTAGGCAATTGACTTTCTTATGGTCTAAACTGAAAATGGAGAAAATCTCAGAAAATGTAAAAGCATGCAAAGTTTACCTGTGTACTGGAGCATCTCTCTCAAGTGTGTGAGGTGCCGTATGCTAGGCATGTCTCACGGGAGCTGAACAGAAGCCAGCTCCTGGGTAACGCTGATCATTGTGAATTCTCTAATGAAGGGTGAAGTTAAGAGGCATCTGCCTTAAATGCCAAAAGCTCTTAAAGAGAGAAATTCAGAAAGACAGACAGACAGACAGAGAACAATGCTTAGGCAATGGATATTCTTGTTACCTGTAGGGAAAAAATTGACCATTTTGATAATTACTACTTTAATTTTTTTCTCTAGAACTCCTTCTCTGATTTACCAACAGCTCTTAGAGATGAACTCGACTGGCCTCAACTCTCCGGTGTTACTGGGTTTCTGGACTCCACTAGCAGGTATGTGGGTCTGCACACCCTCAAATATTTCAACGTATCTGTATAAGAAAAGAACAGGAGATGGGTCTTGCTCCCAAGATGTTGAAATGAGAATTATTAGGAACTGCTTCTAGAACATGAATGACGTATAACAAAACCACCACTTCATCGAGTCCATCCACAGCACGGTAATGCAATGCAAACTGCATTTTAACAGTGCTGGCAAGAAAGGAAGATCCCTGCTGTTGGTTGCAGGGGTGCCAGGGGACTTGCAGTTTTCCGCCGATGGACAGTACTCAAACACACCACTGAATTTTTCTGATTTAAGGGAGAATGAAGTTTACTTGATTACTTACTCTCACAAATTAACATTTATAAAGGTAATGGCTAAAATTAACTGGCAAGTCTCAAAGTCCTGGAATCACCCTAGATTTAATGCTCTGGATTTGCAGCTAGAGACCACGCAGGATGATTCTAAGTGACACACAAACCCAATTCGCTGCATGAGACTGGGTGTTGCCTGAGGGCCTGCACTCTGCCTCCCAGCCCTGCACCTGGCGGGGACACCTAAGCTGCTGTGAGACTTTGCAAGTGTCCTTAACATGATAAAAAGCCATGTTTTTCTCCCAACATCCCCAAAACATTTGTAGCAGTTCATAAGCATAAGGAATATGGCAGACGACTGGCTTCCATGTATAAAAACAGAAGAAAGGGCAGAGCTTTGGGTTGAGGTCTAAAGGCAGGGCCGAGCCAGCAGGGAAGCCTTCTCGGACTCAGGCAGCAACACCAGAAAGCCAGAAAGGACCATGAGACAAACCATGAAAACCGTGAGGAGGGCAAGAGTGCATGGAGCTGGTTTATCCAAATCCGTAAGGGGCAGGAATGCCCAAGGGACGGCCATTTATAATTTTAACACACATTTCTTTTGTTTAACAAAGAGCATTGCATGCCATGAATCATTTATTTGATTATCTTTACTCATTCGCTTTAAAATTATTTCTTAAATACTTACCACCTAACCAGGCACAGATGTTATAGGTGTTTGAAGGTAAACAAGGCTTATCCCATTCTGCAGCCAATTAAAGAAAGGCAGACGAGACAATGAACAGTGACGACACAAGGGCGATGCGTCCGGGCAGGTCTCACACAGAACCACAGGGTTCGGTGGGAAAGGAGTTCCTGGACGTGATCACCAGCCACCCCCTTTTGGAGTGGAAGGCAAGGAGCCAAACCCTGAAGGATTTAGGAGATTTGGGTGATGAAAGGGGTAGGGAAGAAACTAAGAAAGACAATCAACCTTCAGGAAAACGTATTCATGTTTATGTAGGAATCATCTGTGCACATAGGGAAGGCAAAAGAGATGAGTTTTCAAGTTTCAGTGTCTGTTTTCAAGGTTAATCATGTTTTCTAAAAAGGCTAGTCGTCGTCATTAGTGTAGAAATACTAACTAATCAATAATAGGGATAATAAGAAGTAACCTTCATGAGAAGTAAGAAGTCATATGCCATTCATTGTACTGTTATATAAAGATTATGTCATTTAATCTTTTTGTGGGGTAAGCGGATTATTTTCTGCATTTTTTAGTTGAGGAATCTAAGTTGATAGACACATTAAGAAATGTGACCAAGGTCACAAAGCTAAGAAGATGTGGTAGGATCTGTCATCGCTGAACCTTGTCGTATTGTAACACAGAGAATAATCTTGGGGCCAAGACCCTCGCAGTCCCCAACCCTCGACCTTCATGCGCTGTCTTTATTCCATGTGTGGGAACATGCTTGCTCTACCTATTGTGCCTTTGAGAGCATAGCTATGGGACAGGGAAAAGACTGAGAACTAAAGAAGTGCTCCCGGTGTGAAGATGAGGCGTGCCTGGTTTCAGATGTCCATCACGTGCCTGTGATGCCTTCCCAGGGTCCCCATCCTCCCAGCTGTCTGGAACCCCCTAAGCCTCTGTGCCCTCTTCCCTCTGCTGCAGCTACTGCTGTCTTTGTTCCCTGGGACACATCCAGAGATAGCCCAGCCAAAGCAGCTTTCTGGAAGAGAGAACCTTGTTTATCTCCCCACTGTCAGCATCAGAATTGAAAAAATATTATATTATATTTAAGTGTGCTCTGCTCAATCCAGCTATCCATCTATAAAAATATCAGGATGTTTCTCTCAATCAAGGCTTTTATGACAATAGTAAAAATAGTTATGAATGGGAAATGAACGCAGTTTACTGTACCTTTACCAGAATCTTAAATTTACATATGAACCCTATAAATCCCAGCCACATTTGACCGCATGAAGTCGCCATGGAGGAAATACCAACCTGATGTTTATAATTAATTGCCAAGTAGTTTAAATCTTTACTGGAATCACTGAAAGAGTGAAAGAGGAATCCACTCACCATGACCAGAAAAATTGGGGAAAACTTGTGTCCCCATCGCTTTCTACTTAGAGCTCACACACACCAGTAGTTGTCCTGCACCCCCAAAATCTAGTTTCCCCAAAACTCTGCCCACACTTAGCTCCTGCTCTCAAGCAGATTCTGGTCAGTAGTTTTTAGTTTTTTGGGGGGATTGGAGGGGAAACTCTCTCTTCCCTTCTGCTTCTGCTTCCCTTCTGGTTTACTCCCTTACCAGTGTAAAATCCTGTGAACGCTCCAATCCTGCGGCAGGTTCTACCCATCATCCTGATGAGAGCCCAGCAGGCAGACAGGACTTTCTTTTGAAGTATGGCAGTGGAGTGAAAGGAAAAGTTGAAAGTCTTCAGACACAAATGGTTTATAACTCTTATAAGCGTTATGCAAAGAAATTCTGACACCAACTCACAAATGAAATGGCCATCTCGTCTTGGCTTATGTGAAAATCATCTCTACTCTGAGCTAATCTGTGTTGACTTGGCACCTTTTTGTACTAGGGTCTGTATTGCTTTTTATAAAACAAAAATACCTAATAATCTTCTTATGCTACTTGCTCAGTGTTGACTTTAAGTATTGTCCTTATTTGTTGTATTTCTAATGAGGTGCATACTGTAGCTGGTTGTTCACCTACCCTGCAGGGATTTTTCCCTCTGTGTGTTTGTAGGGCCTCAAGCTATCTAGTTGTCTCTCCAAAATGCTTTTTTGCCAGCTGTTTCTGTGTGCTGTGCCTGTGTTCTCTGCTACTCAGCTGGAGAAGAATATATCCAACTCCTTTTGGTAGAAAAGGAAATTCTCCTTTTGGAATATGAATTGCAATGGACTCCCCCATTAAGCAGAAACCCAGGCAGCATGACACTCCGTGTGTAGTATCACCATCCAGTACGTCCAGTTGAACTATCTCATACACCATCATGTAAATTATACCCTCAGATAATCTACACTAGCTAATATCCTTATTAAAAGAATAAAAAGTTATAAAGTATATAAAAATATCAAAGATTAGCATATGATGGAAGTTCTCTTCTTGTGGAATCAGGAAAACAAAAATAATATCGACCCGGAAGCAGCACTTCTGAAAGGCGTGTGCAGTTTCCACGGGCATTTTTAGCAGATGTCCCTCGAGTCCAAATGCTTATCAACATGGGACAGAATTGATGGAGTTCTCCATTCAACTGTATCTCTAGAATGTGCTTCCTATTACGATATTATAATCACCCTCATGCTATGGGTATAAACAATGTTCTTTGGAAAATACACCTTGTGCAAGCACAATGATGTGGTTCAGGTGAGAAGACAGTTCCTTTACTTTCGTTCTTCTTTTATACTCTGCCTTCTCAGAGTTTCATATCTCCTTCATCTTATGTTGTTATGTGCATGCATTAAAAGTCAAATATGATCCCTTAGTTTTACAAATCTTTAGTTATCGTAGTTGAGTCAACGTTAACAAAATCTGTTGTCTTTACTCAGGCTTCAGAAAATTCAATGTGATAACCCTTAAAACAATGTATCGTTATTTTTTTTTTCAATGTGATTCAGGAAGCAATTGAGTGGGTCAAAAGCAGAAAAAAAAAAAAAACCCTCTGTGGAACTGGAGAGCTTGACAATAGTCAAGCAATAGTCCCCTCCTGAACTGTAACTGTAAGTGGGAAGAAAAAAGTATTTAAAAAGATTAAACATAGTGCTTCCTATCAGATAACTTCCAAAAGCAATTCATGCAACAGGAAAATCCTGCTAAAGTTGAAGAAGCCAAGGTCCAATAACACATGTAAATGATGGGAAACAATACAAAAACTTCGACAAAAACAATATCTCATTTGAAAGCAGTATCTAAAATTTCAGAGCCAGCATAGTAGAGTGAAAGGAAGTCTGTATTTACAGTTGCAAGGGTGCTGCTTCTCTGTGATTCTGAGTGGAACATTCAGCATTCCTCACCCTCATTTATATATTGAAGTTGAGTTGGACCAGGTGATCTCTGAAGTCCTCTCCAATGTTCAAGTTTAGTTGTAGGGTAACAGGATCCATGTTGCTACTTGGTTTAGAAGCATAGGAGGAAGTTGTTGGGGAGAAATGCTCCCACTTCTCCCCACCAACTATGTCTTCCTCTACCCTGTAACTAGCCTGTCTCTTGAAACAAGACATGGATGATTTTGTGGGTCAGTGCCTGACCCATTCTCAGAACCGTGTTTGGCCGGGGAAGTGTTACTGTACACTAAAGTGTGGGCTCCAGCACAGTAAGCCCTGCATTGTGTGACATTGGATGTGTGACCAGCTGTTAAGTAAAAGTGTACCCCATTGCTGCCCTTTATGTGTACTATTTGCTCCATAGCAAACCCCAAAGAGAAAAACAGATGACCTCAAATCCTTAACAAAACTAGCCACCTGAACCCAACCAAACCTAAACTGAGCATTTTTGGCTATTCCAATTCCCTTCTCCTGAGGTTGGGGCCAGGAGTCAGTGGAGTTCTGCAGGTCAAGGCTAAATGACAGAGAGATGAAAACAGGGCAACAACTAGAGATGTAAGAGAAAAAAAAAAAGTAAGAAGCTGAACTTAGCCATAAAAAGCCATGAAAGCCAAAAGAACCAAAGACAGTTACCAAAGTTATATACCAACCTGGA